ACAGGGGGGGGGGGGGCAGAGAACCGCGAAACTTAAACCTTATACTCGCTATTTTCTTCGAAAATATACGTGAGTTCCACAAAACATATCACTGGCTTGAAAGTGGGCTTGCAAGAAGTATGATGCTTGTTTATCCGGCATGATTTTCTCGATTATCTTTTAGAAAAAATCTTCTCTTTGAACTTCCTAGACTGACAGCGTCATTCTTTATGGACTAACTGTTATTATAAAAAGCATCTTAGAAAAAAGCTTTATCAGTTAAATATAAGAGGGTGGGTATGAGTGTGAGAAAAAGACTCACACTCCACCCAATTTTTGTATCAGTAGAAGAATGTGAATGTAGGTATTGACTCAGAGAACATCCACAATCATACTCACACCCACACCCTGTGTAGTGAGCACTTTTAACTACTTTCTTGGATGTTCACTTCATAGAATTTTTACTTGAACTATGTAAAGCCATTCAATTGACTTACCGAATTTCCTATGAAGATTAATACTTAAATCTATTTTATTATTATCATGATATTAACACAAAAGAAAAGTAGAGAGGTCTACACAAGTAAGTTAAGCTTACAAAAAGTCAGCGTATTTGAACTCTCTTGTCTAATTATAATAGCCTAGTTCGATGACCGTAAACAACAATACAGTCTTAACCAGATAGGTAATGCCTGTCATCTATTCAATATGATTCATACTGGAGTTGATGATGACAAGCGATCAACTAATCATAGCAATAGTGTGTCTGCGAGAAGAGGAAACAGTCGGATTTCGTTTCATTTATTATTGACCACTCTGTATCATTTATGAAGACTATTGAAGTAACATGTGACAGTGTATTTATTAGTTGCACGTTCTTCGAATGCAGGACGATTAGAATTCAGCTATTTCCTTGTTTCCACTAGTTCTGATTTTGTAATGACTAGGTTACTCATACAGACAGATAAATGCTAAACTGGTGTTTCAACGCGTTTTGATAGAAAAATGAACAAAAAAGAAAATAACGCATTATGACTCATTGATACGATAAATGAAAAAGTTGAACCTGTTAAATTGTAAGAATCTGATACGTTCTAATGCATTTTTATATATTAATGACGATTAACAAAAAGATTTATGGCTTAAAATCATGTCTTATAATTTCTTTTCTAGCAACAATGGGTTTTAATCTGGATAAAATGAAAGATTTTCACAAATTCATCTATTTATCCGTTCTTGCTAGTGATCGCATTAACTAGTAGCACTGAAATTGTTTGTCTCTTTATTTCATTGTTACTACAAAACAAAGAACAACAATTGTAGCTACTCAGTAATTCGTATTGTTTCTTATTCAATCTATATATATAATTCTATTTATTCCGCGGCATATACGTTTATAGAAGTTCTAATTAACTATTCTATGTGTGTGTTATGATAATTTTTTTAGAAAGTATACATCGACTAAAAATTTAATTTCAACTAATAAAGGAAAAAGGAATTAATATTTATAACAATCCTTATAAATCTGTTAAACCTTCGTCAAAAAGGTATTGAACCACTATCGAAAAATAGTAAACACAAGAATAATTCATCATATGAAAAAAAATATTAAAAACTTTGTCAGTCACTTCTTTATTAGCTTCGATTCGCGTGCAGTTTGAGTATACCAATCACACTGTGAATGAGGATGTGCTGAAGTTGCACAAGTACACTTGCTTCATTGTGCTATACTTGGGTGAATAGTGCTTAGAGAGAAAAATATTGTATGACGTACATATCGTTTTTTCTGCATCCAACTTCAAAAACCTTTTTAAAAAATAACCAACAAAGAGGAACTGCGGCTAAGACTAGTGAAGAATATAATATAATCCACATGCTTTAATATTACTAGCAATATTAAAATACAATATTTACTAATAAATCAGAGATACCAGGTAACATCGATTCCAAAAAAGTCAAGAGTTGAAGAGTATGCAACAGTAATTTAGTTTCATTTCTTCTCAAAGAATAGATTCATACAGGGTTTTTAACAGAAATCTAAAATAAAGTACATTTAGGTACTTTGCTTCTATTGGCAAAGTGCTAGGTGGTATTTTGTTTTAAACAACAAAGTATCCAAAGTACCAAAAGAGAGAAATGTTAAGAAAAAGAAAGAAAAATATACTCTTGACTTTTATTAATTGATAATGTTTGTGTACAAAAAACAATATACAAAAAAGTTGTAGATAAAGATAATAATACACATATTCATCTGACTAAGTTAAATAAACACTTTTCTGAATTAACCTTTACTTTTGTATATACAACAAAATAAAAATAAAATAAAATATAAATTACTATTGTTCTTCTTCTTCTTCTTCTTCATGCATGTCGATGCAATCTTCGCAAAACCATGTAGTTGATTCAGTTGAAATTCCTAATTTAATACGACAAGTATTACATAACCATCGAGAACAGTTATCTTCAACCCAATCATAATACTCGTTTTGATGACAACATTGAATTGCATGTATTTCTGTTGGATCATTATCAGCAATACACTTACCACAACCATTGGCGCATTTAATAGCTTTAGTTTTTTGTTTTGTCGGTTTAATTGGACAATCATTAGTTGTTGTAAGGTGTCGTTTTTGTTTACCAGCAGAACGTTTTTGTTTTACTGCAATATAATCATCAGGTACATCAACAATTAATTTTGCGCGATTAATTCGACGATTTTCATCTCGTCCACTCCACGATTTATAAGCTCGTTCAATAATATTCCGACATTGATCACTAAAAAGAATTCGAAAAAAAGCATGTTCATTTTTACTTTTACGTGAAGCAATAGTTTACCTTCGTAAATCATGTGGAAAAAGTAATCTTACATTCATTAACACATCAAGAGTATTGATCATTATTTTTGAACGACCATTTGTTTGAATACGATTAGAGACTGAATATCCACGTTCACATTCACAGGAATTAATTGGTGATATTAAATAAATAGATAATAGTATTAAAAGATTTTTGTGCCGTTCACGAAAGGAGTAATCAATAGCTTCTTTCCACATTATAAACGATTTCCAAAATTTTCTTCTCGAATTTTGCTGTTGATTATTTGATACAAATTCACTTAATGATATTTTTATAATTTCCCATTCATTTCGACATTGAGACACATTAAAACCAGTAAGATTTTTATATTTGTACAAAAGATATTCGAGTTCTTGACGACCATAATTAGATTTAGAAACTTGATCTTTGTTTTGAATCAGATAATCAGGTTCGAATAAAACAGCAAATGATTGTTGAACTTTTGACGGTTTAAATCTCTGATCTATTTCTAATAATAATTGACTAATATGAGTGAAACACTCACTATACATTTTTAAACGATCAGTTGCAGCAATTGAAAAAGCACCATAAGAATTGTTCTTCTTCATGTGGTTGACGTATTCGGTTAATGATGGACCAAGAACAGGTTGTAATTCTTTTTTTTGCAACAACCAATTGTTTAAAATAATTTGTTTTTCATTTAATATGTTCATAAAAGTAAAATATGGTAAATCATCGTTCTGAACGATTTTTGTTAAATCACCTATAATTGAAATAAAATAATCGCAAGAAACAATAGAAATTATCTCACCTAATACACATTCGTGTAAATCATAATGAAAGTGTATCATAAATAAAAATTCGTCATCTAATATTGATGTTAAAAGATCAGCTGCTGCTTGACGATCATTATTGGTTAAACTTTTACCAAATTTGGATTCTTGAAGTGCTGCTAATAATGCTTGATTCTCTATAACAGAATCTCACCCAGGTCAATGACGCTCGGCAGCAAACGGCCGTTCACCAACTAAATACGTCAAAAAACGGTAACTTTTTACGCTCGTCGTAAACAGCAGCTGTAAACG